ACAGTGCCTTGAAAAAAGTATTCATACCCCTTTAAATTTTCCACATTTTGTCATGTTAGAACCAAAAATGGATTTTATTGGGATTTTATGTGATAGACCAACACAAAGTGGCACATAAAATTGTGAAGTGGAAGGAAATTATAAATGGTTTCCTAAATTTTTTACAAATAAATATCTGAAAAATGTCCTTGTATTAAGCCCCCCGAGTCAATACTTTGTAGACCCATCTTTCGCTGCAATTACAGCTGCAAGTCTTTTTGGGTATGTCTCTACCAGCTTTGCACATCTAGAGAGTGACATTCTTCTTTTCAAAAGAGCTCAAGCTCTGTCAAATTGGATGGAGAGCATCTGTGAACAGCAATTTTCAAGTCTTGCCACAGATTCTCAATTGGACTTAGGTCTGGACTTTGACTGGGCAATTTAAAAAATGAATATGCTATGATCTAAACCAGCAGTTCTCAACCTGGGGGTCGCGACCCCTTTGGGGGTCGAACGACCATTTCCCAGGGGTCGCCTAAGACCATCGGAAAACACATATTTCCGATGGTCTTAGGAACCGAGACACCGCTCCTCTGACTCAGTCGATGTGTGGGCGGGATGACACGCTGCCCTGTCACCTGGCCACACCTCCGGGATCCCTCAACAACTCCGCCTCCTCGCCGCTGATTGGCCACCGGAACTGTAGCTCAGGAGAGGCACACAGGCGGCCAATCACCGGCGAGGAGGTGGAGCTTGGAGAGGAGGAGCCGAGCGGCAGCGCGCGTAGATCTAAGAAGATCGAGGGAACTGCCGGAGTAAGTGAAGAGGAGAGCGGCCAGAGAAGGAAGACAGCTGACAGGTAAGTGAGAGAGCGAGCCCAGGCTGGAGCAGGGGTCAGCAAGGTAAGTATCATTGGTGTCAGTGGGAGGAATAGTGCCCCATCATTTGTGTGACTAATACCAACAATGGGGCACTATTTCTCCCACTGACACCAATGATGGGGCACTATTCCTCCCACTGACACCAATGATGGGGCACTATTCCCCCCACTGACACCAATGATGGGGCACTATTCCCCCCACTGACACCAATGATGGGGCACTATTCCCCCCCCCACTGACACCAATGATGGGGCACTATTCCCCCCACTGACACCAATGATGGGGCACTATTCCTCCGACTGACACCAATGATGGGGCACTATTCCTCCCACTGACACCAATGATGGGGCACTATTCCCCCCACTGACACCAATGATGGGGCACTATTCCCCCCACTGACACCAATGATGGGGCACTATTCCTCCCACTGACACCAATGATGGGGCACTATTCCTCCCACTGACACCAATGATGGGGTACTATTCCTCCCACTGACACCAATGATGGGGCACTATTCCTCCCACTGACACCAATGATGGGGCACTATTCCTCCCACTGACACCAATGATGGGGCACTATTCCTCCCACTGACACCAATGATGGGGCACTATTCCTCCCACTGACACCAATGATGGGGCACTATTCCTCCCACTGACACCAATGATGGGGCACTATTCCCCCCACTGACACCAATGATGGGGCACTATTCCCCCCACTGACACCAATGTTGGGGCACTATTCCCCCCACTGACACCAGTGTTGGGGCACTATTCCCCCCAATGACACCAACGATGGGGCACTATTCCCCCCAATGACACCAACGATGGGGCACTATTCCCCCCAATGACACCAACGATGGGGCACTATTCCTCCCAATGACACCAACGATGGGGCACTATTCCTCCCAATGACACCAACGATGGGGCACTATTCCCCCCACTGACACCAACGATGGGGCACTATTCCCCCCACTGACACCAACGATGGGGCACTATTCCCCCCACTGACACCAACGATGGGGCACTATTCCCCCCACTGACACCAACGATGGGGCACTATTCCCCCCACTGACACCAACGATGGGGCACTATTCCCCCCACTGACACCAACGATGGGGCACTATTCCCCCCACTGACACCAACGATGGGGCACTATTCCCCCCACTGACACCAACGATGGGGCACTATTCCCCCCACTGACACCAACGATGGGGCACTATTCCCCCCACTGACACCAACGATGGGGCACTATTCCCCCCCACTGACACCAACGATGGGGCACTATTCCCCCCACTGACACCAACGATGGGGCACTATTCCCCCACACTGACACCAACGATGGGGCACTATTCCCCCCACTGACACCAACGATGGGGCACTATTCCCCCCACTGACACCAACGATGGGGCACTATTCCTCCCACTGACACCAACGATGGGGCACTATTCCTCCCACTGACACCAACGATGGGGCACTATTCATCCCACTGACATCAGTGATGGGGCACTACTCCTTCCACTGACACCAATGATGTGGCACTAGTCCTCCCACTGCAAAATTACAGTTATGAAGTAGCAACGAAAATAATTTTATGGTTGGGGGTCACCACAACATGAGGAACTGTATTAAGGGGTGGTGGCATTAGAAAGGTTGAGAACCACTGATCTAAACCATCCCATCAGGGTGTATTTGATTTAAATCAAGTTGATTTAAATCACTAGTGAAAAGGCTCGATTTAAATCATAATTTTTAAAGAGCAACTGTCATCTCTGTCCCGCAGCAGCTCTTCCTCTGACCCGCTGTTGACTCACTGACAGTCCCATTCACTTTAATGGGACAGCTGGTGATGCGGCAGTGACACAACAAGGTGAGGGACGTGGCGGCAGCAGGTGAGTGGATGCCTTCTAACAGGCACTGCCATGATGGGTCAAAAAAGACAGGTGCTCTTTAACTGTAAGAAATTAGACTCATTCTTGCTGGTGGTTAGAATCTTTAATATTTGCAAACCAAATTAAGGTTTCCTGTTTAGAATAATAAGCTGCCAGGTTAGTAAAACAGCGATGGCAGAACCGATTTTAGGTTAATCACACATAGTTGGAGAACGACTCAAATTCTTTTATTTCATGTTTTTTCTCATGGTTACTGTGAAATTTTGTGAATGCATCAATGCTGTGCATGTTATCTCAGCTTGCATTCATAGAATGAGTTAAACAAAAATGTAAATATTGCAGAATATACAGCCTCATGCTACATAACCAAGCTCCATTTCATGCTGAATAAACTAAATTAGTAATGTATCGTAAATAGAAAACTATCTTTAAATAGATTATTACTCCAAAAATATTTTATTAAAATAAATTTGATAAAAATAAAAAAAATAAAAAAATCAGATTTTTATCTACCCTGCATTCCATTGTAGCTCTGGCTGGATGTTTTTGGGTCGTTGTCCTGCTGGAAGGTGAAACTCTGCCTTAGTGTCAAGTCTTTTGCAGACTCTAAAAGGTTTTCTTCTAAGATTGCCCTGTATTTGGCTCCATCATCTTCCTATGAACTCTGAACAGCTTCCCTGTCCCTGCTGAAGAAAAGCATCCCCACAACATGATGCTGCCACCACGTTTCACGGTGGGAATGGTGTTTTCAGAGTGATGTGCAGTATTAGTTTTCCACCACACACAGCGATTTCCATTTAGGCCAAAAAGTTATTTTGCTCTCATCTGACCAGAGCACCTTCTTCCACATGTTTGCTGTGTCCCCCACATGGCTTCTCGCAAACTGCAAACGGGACTTCTTATGGCTTTCTGTTAACAATGGCTTTCTTCTTGTCACTGTTCCATAAAGGCCAAATTTGTTGAATGCATGACTAATAGTTGTCCTGTGGACAGATTCTCCCACCTGAGCTGTGGATCTCAGCGGCTTCTCCAGAGCTACCATGGGCCTCTTGGCTGATTCTCTGATTAATGCTCTCCTTGCCAAGCATGTCACCTTGGGTGGACAACCATATTTTGGTAGGATAGTAGTAGTGCCATACTCTTTCCATTTTCGGATGATGGATTGAACAGTGCTCCGTGAGATGTTCAAAGCTTAGGATATTTTTTCTAACCTAACCTTGCTTTAAACTTCTCCACAACTTTATTCCTGACCTGTCTGGGGTGCTCCTTGGCCTTCATGATATTGTTTATTCACTAATGTGCTCTAACAAACCTCTGAGGGCTTCACAGAACAGCTGCATTTATACTGATGATAAATTATACACAGGTGGACTCTATTTACTAATTAGGTGACTTCTGAAGGCAATTGGGTCCACTAGATGTTAGTTAGGAGTATCAGAGTAAAGGGGGCTGAATACAAATGCACTCCAAACTTTTCAGATGATATTTATTTGTAAAAAAATGTTGAAAACCATTTATCATTTTCTTTCCACTTCCCAATTATGTGCCACTTTGTGTTGGTCTATCACATAATATCCCAATAAAATACATTAACGTTTTTGGCTGTAACATGACAAAATGTGGATAATTTCAAGGGTATGAATACTTTTTCAAGGCATTGTAAGCACCCTTCAGATCCACTAAGGTCAGAAAGTCCCCAAGTCCCCCTGATGCAGACAGGCAAACTTTGACTCTTTTGGGAATTCTGGGACATGAATGTGAGCATTTAAAGCTTCGAGGTCCAGAATGGGGCAAATGCCCACTTTGGGCTCCGGTACATTGAACAGGTTGGAATAAATCACATGAACACGTTTCCACAATGAGGAAACATGTTCCAAGAGACCAAAGGGCACACAACTGAGCCAGGTGCCAAGGATGCATTGGATGATTGCAGGCAAAAATATGAGGAAGAGGCAAAGAACAAAACTGGAACATTGATTGGATGAATAGCACAGATACTTGCATACAGCAATATTGTTATCCAAACCACTATATGGGGCCAGGACAGGTTCATTGTAAAAAAGATGTGGAAAATGAGGCAAGACCTCAGACCTAAAAAGCCCAAAGTCTCAATTGTAATTTACAAGGAGATGAGGAAAACATGAAAGGCATCATTATGAAAACAGTTTTTTGTACTAAAATCATTAAGCCCAAACTTTGGTCATTCTTCAAAAAAACAAAATAAAGATCAGTTTAAAAAAAAAGTGACAGACCTTTAACATCAGTGCTTGACTCTGCCTTTCATCTTGCGGCACCAGCTGGAAAACAGAGGCAAGTGATATAACACATTCTTTTTTTGCATGTTCCTTATTTCACATAGCTGGGCATGGTCTGACCTTTATATTGTCCTGGGTTCCTCTGTAATCATCCTGGAGGTAGCACTGCAGCAGCTGCACACTCTGTTCCTCATTCAGTCCCTGTATCATTGTAATAACACCGATTACTACATTTTTGACTAAAAACTATTTTTTTTTACCCCTCCACCATGCCTAAGAGCTGACTCACCAGAAATTTGCTTAAACGTAATCCAAGTTCCTTCAATGCAGGAGCTACATTGCTTGCTTTCACCTTGTCTGCAGAGCTAGTGCTAGAAGATCAAAGTCAAATAAATGATTTCTTAAAAACTATAAATTGTAAAATAGGAAGCAACAGTGCATAAATCCCATCTTCAGCCATCGTTTGTTTCTTATCCCCAATGGGAAAACACACATCAGTAAAAACCTAAGAGCAGCTCTAACCCTTTCATACTATATCCAAAAATTATTAAAGAGCTTTAGCTGGAGCTGGGTTTTTAAAAAGTAGCCAACAAAAACACATTTGCTAAAATAATGTATAAATAAAACCAATACAAAGATATGCAGAAATGACAGAACAGGGCAGTCTCAGGATCTAGAGAATCAGCCAGAGAAAAGATAGTCATCTTGAAGGAAACCTGCACTGATGGGTATTATGATGGCCATTGAAGACCCAATCTAGTAGAGAGAGGCAATGACACAAAAAGAGGGCTAGACTAAAGGGACGTTTCTAGGGCTACGTAATAACATTATTATAAAAGCATTATTTTTATTCATACACCATTCCATTAAAACTCATGGCCATGTTACGGACAATTCTTAAAAAATTCCACAGTCATATGAAATTTGGTATATAACCCAATTTGAAACAATTAAGACTTGACTGCTGCATGAGAGCAATGCCTGGTACAAACTATCAGTTTTTTTTTGTTCAAACCAGCGGGCAGAAGGAAAAAATACTTGGAGCTGGTAGGCGATCTCCCTGCTGAGCTATTGTATTCTGACAGGGGGACTGACAGGGAGACTGTACAAACATTTGGCGCTATATGAATCATGTTGACTTCTCCATCACATCCAACAACGCCACCATCAAACCCGCCTCGCAGGCCAGAGTACTTGGTGTCATTCTGGACTCCAACCTATCCTTCCAGCCCCAAGTCCAATCTTTAACAAACTCGTGCAGACTCCACCTCCGCAACATCGCCAAAATCCGCACGTTCCTAACCCCAGAAAACACTAAACAGCTCATCCACTCCCCTCATCATATCACGACTCGACTACTGCAACTCTCTCCTCACTGGCCTGCCTCGCCGCTGGCTATCCCCGCTTCAGTCCATCCTGAATACGGCTGCCAGACTCATTCACCTTTCCAACCGCTCCATCACCGCTACCCCCCTCTGCCAATCCCTCCACTGGCTTCCGATTGCGCAACGGATCAAATTCAAAATCCTAACGCTGACGTACAAAGCTGTCCACCATACTGCCCCGAACTACATCACTGACCTAATATCCAAGTACCGCCCAGCACGCACACTCCGCTCCTCACAAGACCTCCTTCTCTCTAGTTCCCTGGTCTCCTCCTCCCATGCCCGCCTCCAGGACTTCTCCAGGGTGTCACCCATCCTCTGGAACTCCCTGCCCAACCCATCAGATTATCACCTACTCTCCTCTCCTTTAGGCGCACCCTGAAAACCTATCTCTTCAGGGAAGCCTACCCCACCCCCTGCTAACTTGCCGACCTCTTTCACTCTTTCCTACCACTCCATCCCCCACAGCTATCTCCTCCTGTGCCACCATCCCCTCCCTCCTAGATTGTAAGCTCGAAAGAGCAGGGCCCTCGATCCCCTCATGTTTTGCATTGTATTGTTATTGTTCTGTCACATGTTCTGTCCCCCTTTGTAATGTACAGCACTGAGAGAACTATTGGCACTTTATAAATACTGTATAATAATAATAATAATAATGTATAAGAAAAATAATAAAATAATAATTGCCGATTTAATCCTCAAAATTGTTTGTTGTATGGCTCTCTGGCTTTAGTACTTTCTGAGACAATGAGCCAAAACAAACATACGGACAAGAAAAGTCAGAGGTCATAATTTACATGCTTGTCCTCACTCAGTGGCTCAGAAAGTAAAGTCACATGACAGCAAGTAAACCTCAAGTAAGGCTAGGTGCCAGCTTCTTATAGTCAGCACAAATGCATGCAAAACGCATAAAAATAGCATTTAGATGTGATTTTGAAACGTTTCCATTGAAGTCTATGGGCTACAAATTCGCACTGCATTGCACCAAAGTAGCACAGGACCCTTCCCCAAAGTCGCATTGAAGCTGCTCTGCATGGATGTGACTGGGCACTACTGAAAAAATTTTTATTTCCATAGTCACATGATTCAGTGTAACACAAGTCTCACCTGAAATCACATCAGTGTGAACCAGGCCTAACAGTGCTGTCTCTTCTACGCATAGCCATGATCCCATATTATCCAGTTACCATCATATTTTGTTCCAAGCAGAAAAAATATAGTCACACCTGCACCACTACATTTGTGAATTTTTCTGAAGCAGACCTGTCAAGCCACCATTAACATATGAATTTGATATTTCCCTTGTATTAAACATCTTGCTGTTCGTCCTTTCTACAAATATGAGACCTACACCATAGCATGAGACAGGTCAAGCTATGTCAAAGGTCATGAGACAGCTTATAATATACAGAAGTGCGGCGCTTCAAATAATGAAAAAAATGTGAACTTAAAAGTCCAATCCACAGGAGTAATATATAGGGAATGAGCCCCTCTTCATTGAAGCCTCAGTGCTACTATAGATGTCTCAAAACAGCCCTTACCTCCATAGATCCATAGAGACCAACTGGGGTTTATTCCAGGCCGGCAGGCAGAGGACAATGTTAGAAAAGTGATCCACTTGTCACATATTTTGAATAGTAGAAAGATCCTAGGTTTCATTCTTTCCCTTGATATATATAAGGCAATTGACTCCCTTTCTTGGGATTATTTACGCTCTGCTTTACAACGTTGGGGTTTTGGTGATCCCATTCTGGCTTGGATTTCAGCCCTTTACTCCTCCCCGTCAGCCTGCGTGAAATATGCCAGTCTTCTTTCCGACCCTTTTCCAATCCTCCGTGGCACTAGGCAGGGTTGCCCCCCTCTCTCCCATCCTATTTGTTTTAGCTCTTGAACCTTTGGCGATTGCACTGCACTCAGATCGCAATATTTCAGGAATCCCTTATGCGGGGTCTCAACATAAAGTGAATTTGTTTGCGGATGACGCACTTTTAACTTTGACAAATCCCGACATCCCTTCCTAACCTACAACACTTACTCTCCCACTTTTCGGCTATATCGGGCTTACAAATCAATCCTCATAAAACAAAGGCTCTCAATATCTCTCTGCCGCCCTCTTCTGTCGTTCACTTTCAACAATATTTCCCATACCGCTGGGCAACCACCTCCATTGACTATTTAGGGGTCAAATTAACTGCATCTTTCTCAACTCTTTTCTCATCTAACTACTACCCCCTTCTTCGAACCGACACTTCTTTGTTACAGTCATGGGAATTTCCCTCCTTAATGTTAATTGGCTGTATACAAGCCATAAAAATGACTATACTTCCCCAAATTCTTTATTTGTTTTTTTTTAACTTTGCCTGTCCCTTCTTTCTTTTTACGCCTTCTACATAACAGGATCCTTTCCTTTATTTGGGCCTATAAACGCCCAAAGGTTTTGTGCTCCCCATTGTTCACCCACAGACTCAAAGGAGGGCTGGGTGTTCCAAATATTATAAAAGCAGCACAGATTGCACAGCTCACCTTGCTTCATGCTACATCAGATATCTCCCTATGGGTGTGCTTAGAACTCCCCAACTGTGCCCCTCTTCCTGTCATGGCACGGCTATGGCTTCCACACAGACTTTGCCTCTCCTCACTAATCCTCTAATCCTTCACAATTTGAAAGTGTGGGACTCAGTATGGTTCTCAGGTTGCCTCATGTCTCCTCACTTACCTCTTTTACCACTGTTTAACAATCCCCTTTCCTCCAGGCTTCAAACAGCCAATATCCTTTCAATGGTGGGTAGTGCACGGCTTCACACAGGTCCAACATTTGCTTTCCTCATGAACGTTTCCCTCTTGGTCCTCTATTCAGGAGACTTACCAGGATCTGCGGTCTGAATTTTACTGCTATGTCCAGCTTCCCCACTGGATATCCTCTCTAAGACGTAATTCCACATTTCCTTATAGGTCCACGGTCTTTGAGCACTTATGTCGAACTTCTCCAGGTGCCTTGGACACCATCACTCTTCTTTATTCCTCATTGAACTCTGTAGCCTCTTCATCTCTTTCTTAAATTTCTAGCTGGGAGAGGGACCTAGGAGCTTCTGTGGACTCAGTGGACTGGATTAAAGCATGGTCAATTATTACCCGTTGCTCATTCAACACGTTCACAATGGATGCTGCCTACAAAGTCCTCCTGCGATGATGTTGAGTTCCCACCCGCATTGGAAGTGCAAATTCCGATTTTGTTGACAGATGTTTCCACGGCTGCGGACTGTGAGGTGACATGGTCCATACCTGGTGGTCATGCCCACGTCTCAAAGGGTTTTGGTCTAGAGCGGGTGTCGGCAACCCGCGGCTCCAGAGCCGCATGCGGCTCTTTTTCACCTTTGCTGCGGCTCCGGAGCACACTGCCCACCAGGTGACAGGCAATAGGGTTGCCGTAGCTCAGTGGTCGGCAAGCAGCGGCTCTTTACACATTTTAATGCGGCTCTTCTGTGTGCCGGGCGCCCGCTACCCTCCCTCCTCTCGGGCGGCCGCCCCAAAAGTCAGGACTCTGCAGCTAGCCCAGTAATGGGCAAACTACGGCCCGGCGGACCTTTTTAATCTGGCCCGCGGAGCGTGGCAAACATTGGCTGTCAGGATGTAGGCGGGGCAGCGTGACGAACTCCTCCCCTCTCACAGTCCGCCCTGAAGACCGGAACGGCGCGGGAACAGGGCGAGAGGAACGCGCGGAGCAAAGGTAAGTGAATTGACACAATATGGGGGATGAATTACTATAGGGGGGATGAATTACTATAGGGGGGATGAATTACTATATGGGGGATGAATTACTATATGGGGGATGAATTGGGGGATGAATTACTATGTGGGGGATGAATTACTATGGGGGATGAATTACTATGTGGGGGTATGAATTACTATGTGGGGGATGAATTACTATGGGGGATGAATTACTATGGGGGATGAATTACTATGTGGGGGATGAATTACTATGGGGGATGAATTACTATATGGGGGGATGAATTACTATATGGGGGATGAATTACTATGGGGGATGAATTACTATATGGGGGGATGAATTACTATATGGGGGATGAATTACTATATGGGGGGATGAATTACTATATGGGGGATGAATTACTATATTACTATGGGGGATGAATTACTATATGGGGGATGTATTTTCAGTTTTAAAAATGTGGCTCTCAAAATAAATTTCAATCGTGGTTTTGGCGAGATTTGGCTCAGTTGAAAAAAAAGGTTGCCCACCACTGACCTAAGGCTATGATTGTGATTATGACGATACACTGTGGCCCTGATTAACCCTTTGCTTACTGGGCCCTTAAACCCCCTTCATGACCAGAGCGCTTTTTGCAATATATGCAGTGTCAGATTTGTTTTAAATGTTGCAATGGTTTTGCGGCTCCCAGTCTTTTTTTCCCTCTCGGAAATGGGTCCAAGTGGCTCTTTATGTCTTAAAGGTTGCAGACCCATGGTCTAGAGTATTTGGCCTTTATACTCTATCTTCCATATTCCCATTCCAAGAGATGCGAAGTTGGCTTTGTTACACTGCCCGATTGTGGGGTTACATGCTCACCAACAAAAATTAGCCACCTACCCATTTATAGCCACCAAACGGGTCATAGCCAAGACATGAAAGACACCCTCTGTCCCTTTTCATAAGGTTAAGAATACCCTGATTACTCTGATGTTACATGAGAAGATGGCCAGATTGTATGCGACTCACATGATAAACTTTTGAAAGTTTGGCGCCCTTGGTGGACCTACGCGTTCCCTACCCTTTCCCCATTGGGCTTAGGAGCTTCTTAAATTTCAATTAGGACCCAGGCCTGCAGGAGGCTACTCTTTTCTCCTCTATTTACGTTCCTTGCTTTGATTCTTCTTCTCTTCTGCTTTCTTCATTTCGGTTCTTCTTTTCTGATTTCTTTCTTTTCAAGTGAAACGATAGATTGATAACATTGATATCTACCATTTGTCCTCCCAGGACTTGCATCTGGGACATTGAAGCCATACTGTGGCTCACAGGACCACATTATGACTATTTGTAATGCTTCAAAAGTGTTATAGATATCGCCTGTTTAGTTATTTGTTCACCTATCGGTCTGTAACTCCTGTGCGAGCGAACAGCTGTTTTGTATTGATCTGCGTTTCAAAAAATATATTGACACAGAAAAAACTACTTGTCCAAGGGACTAAATTGGTGTCCCAATCTACTTGTCTCTCATGACAATATTCTTGTCCAGATAAAGAAAAAAAATGTTTTTAACCAAAACCGTATTTAAAATCGGAGGTGATATTAGGAATGTTTTAAAAATAAAAAGGGGTTTTATGGTGACTTAAATGTTTAATATTTTTAACATTGCACTGTTCATCTCCCTGCCTGTCTCCAGCACCGCACGGGCTTATCCTTTATCCCTTTCGCTGCCAGAGCCTTTTGCGTTTTTTGCACAAGATTAAAAAAAATCATTTTAGGCCTGAAGATTACACAACACCCCCAAACACGATATATTTTCTGAAATCAGAGACCCTAGAGAATAAAATAGTGGTAGTTCCAATTTTTTATGTCGCATGATATTACCACTAAATTTCATTAAGAAATACAAGTTAGTTAAATTTAGGGCACAAAAAAATGCAATAAATTACCCTATTTTTTTGTAAAATATAAAAGATGAGGCTGCAACGAGTAAATAGATATCCAACTTGTCAAACCTTAAATTTGCGTGCACTCGTGAAATGGCGACAAACTTCAGTACCCTATATTTTCTATGGGTGACGCTTTAAAAGCCCCTTATAGGTCATCAGTATAGTGTTATGGAGGAGGTCTGGTGCTAGAATTATTGCTCTCATTCTGGAGTGAGCGGCAATATGTAACTTGTGTATCGCAATCGACATTTTCATGCATAGGCGCCCCAGCGTGTGCTTTTACGTTTGTACATTTGTATATGTGGGGGGGGGGCTCCATTTTTTTGGGGGGGATGTTATGTGCTTGGGTGTAACTTTCATTTTTTACAATTAAATAAAAACTTTTTTTTTTCTTAATTATTTTTTTTCATCACACAATGATTTTTTGGTGATAGATTCTCTGGATGTCTCCCCTCTGTGCTCCCCTGAATGTAATGCAGTGCACACAGTACTGCATTACATTCTTTCCCGGCCTCAATTGCCAGGCATCTCTCAATGGGAACCTGGAAGTGACCTCATAACGTCACTTCCAGGTCAGGACAAGAACGGAAGGGGAGTGGACATGTCCGCTCTCCTCCCTCCCCTCTAGCCGCCGGCGGTGAGCCAGTCCCGTGCCTGCAGATGGGCAAGCGGAGCCCGGGAGACAGTGGGCGGGGGGAGCTTCACACGGGGGGGGAGGGGTGGAGAGGCTTGCACTGTGTGGAAGTATTCGGGGCAGCAGCTGACAGGTGAGCCCTACTGCTTGTCCGCAGCAGGGTTGAAGGTAAAAAAGAAAAAAAAAACTACCTGCCCGGCACCCAGTACTACATGTCCCAGGTATCAGGCGATAGGAATTCAACATCTTTGTAATGTACAGTGCGTTGGAGTGCCATTCATATTGAATGGCACTTCAGTGCACTGGACATAAAGCAGGTGCATTGCAGGAATGTGTTTATTTTACCTCTTCCTACCACAATGCACAAGTTAGAATGGACCCTTAGAGTTTATGGGCCTGTTCACATCTCAGTGTAGCAAGAACAATGCAGGATAAAAACAAAAACAAAAAAAAAACTAAACAGCCATCCTTGCTTTATTTTTGATGCGTTTCCAGTCAAATGGTGTGTCACATAGAGCTCAATGGTCATATGTTTAAAATGCATGTAAAAAGGCAGAGCACGCATGCCCCAGCATGCAGATATGAATTTGGTCTATACTAAACGAAAATAATTCACATATTAGATAGGAAAGCTTGTTTTTGCTTTTCCCAATTACATTGTATTTGTGTACCTGGGAGGTTTGTAGAAAGCCAAGCCATGAAGAAACCTTCCTCCATATCGATCAAGCTCGCCTTTGATCTGCATCTAGAAAACAGTTACATTTGTCATATTACTAGAAGGCTTCATACAAAGAGAGGGAAATGCCCAATTTCAACACTACTAAATCTATCCAGAAAGAAAAAAAAAAAAAAACTGGCACTGCCCTTAATTTAGAGTTTACCCAATTCACCTTCATCTGAGCAATCTATATTCCACTGCAGCAATAATCTAGAGCAGCCTTTTTCAACCCGGGTGACCTCTGGGTTTCTCAGGGGCGCTTTGGTAAAATGTCTACAAACTGCCGAAAAATTGTGTGCAAGCTTTTTGTTACACAGAGCCACAGGTTATTTTGCAGCATTGCAAGCTTGCGCACAACACAGGACAGCCGATGGCGTACCAACAAACAATAACGTCATTGATTGATAAGGGCGGCATAAGAATGTAATGCAAGAATAAATCACCCCTAATATTGGGTTTCCTACATGTGTGGATGCTGCTGCGATATGTAAAACTATTAGTTTTTACATTTGGGGTGGCTCGAGATTTTGTATCGTTTTAAAAGGTGTCTTTACTGAAAAAATGCTAAGAAACACTGATCTTCAGCAGTCACTGTAACTCTGCATTCACACCTGAGCAGAGAGATTTTCAAGCATTGTAAAGGGGTAGTAAAGTCCACTTGTTTATTTATATCTACAGGTAAGTTTATAAAAAGGCTTACCTGTAGATACAGTTAATATCTCCTAAACGTGCACCATTTAGAAAATATTACTTTAGTAGCAGCCGGTGATGTCACTGGCGCATGTGCACTGCACTCTCAATGGACGAACCCTGGAAAGAAGAGCGGGTGAAAATGAAAGCCCTGTCAGCAGTGACAGGAGCCACTGGAGGGCTTAATTTTTAGGCAAATCTTTCATAATGTGGTAGTATACGATGCATATAAGCACATTATGATCTTAACTTACAGGGGGAAGACTTCATGAATTTTGGGTTTTCACTAGCTGTAAGCCATAATCATAAACTCAGAAAATTAGAATATTACATAAAACCAATTAAAAAGGATTTATAATACAGAGATGTTGGCTTACTGAAAAGTATGTCCATGTACAGTACAGTATGCACTCAATACTTGGTTGGGGATCCTTTTGCATGAATTACTGCATCAATGCGGCGTGGCATGAAGGTGATCAGCCTGTGGCACTGCTGAGGAGTCATGGAAGCCCAGGTTGCTTTGATAGCAGCCTTCAGCTTGCCTGCATTGTTGGGTCTGGTCTCTCATCTTCCTCTTGATATCTTCCCACAGATTCTCTCTGGGGTTTAGGTCAGGCGAGTTTGCTGGCTAATCAGGTACACTGATACCATGATCTTTAAACCAGGTATTAGTACTTTTGGCAGTGTGGGTAGGTGCCAAGTCCTGCAGGAAAATGTAATCGGCATCTCCATAAAGCTGGTCAGCAGAGGGAAGCATGAAGTGCTCTAGAATTTCCTGGTAGAGGGCTGCGCTGACTTTGCACTTGATAAAACACGGTGAACCAACACCAGCAGACACAGTTCCCCAAATCATCACTCACTGTGGAAACTTCACACTGGACCTCATGCAACTAGGATTCTGTGCCTCGCCACTCTTCCTCCAGACTCTGGGATTTCCAAATGAAATGCAAAATTTACTTATGTCCGAAAAGAGGACTTTGGACCACTGAGCAACAGTCCAGTCCTTTTTCTCCTTAGCCCAGGTAAGACACTTCTGACATTGTCTCTGGTTCAGGAGTTGCTTGACACAAGGACTGCGACAGTTGTAGCCCATGTCCTGGATACGTCTGTGTGTGGTGGCTCTTGAAGCACTGAAACCAGCCAAAGTCCACTCCTTGAGAAACTCCCCTAAATTCTTGAATGGCCTTGCTTCACAATCCTCTTAAGGCTGCTGTTATCCCTGTTGCTTGTGCACCTTTTTCTACCACACTTTTTGCTTCCACTAATATGCTTGGATACAGCACTCTGTGAACAGTCAGCTTCTTTAGCAATTACCTTTTGCGATTTGCCCTCCTTGTGGAGGGTGTCAATGACTGTGTTCTGGATAACTGTCAAGTCAGCAGTCTTCCCCATGATTGTGTAACCTACTGAACCAGATTGAGAGACCATTTAAAGGCTCAGGAAACCTTTACAGGTGTTTTGAGTTAATTAGCTGATTAGAGTGTGACAACATGAATCTACAATATTGAGCTTTTTCATAATATTCTAATTTTCTGAGTTCATAAATTTTGGGTTTTCACTAGCTGTAAGCCATAATCATAAAAATTGAAAAAGAAATGCTTGAAATATATCACTCTGTGGTAATGAATTTACAGTTGCAAGAAAAAGTATGTGAACCCCTTGGGATTACATGGAGTTTTGCATGAATTGGGCATAAAATGTGCTCTGAACGTCATCTTAGTCACAACAATAGAAGAACACAGTCTGCTGAACATAATACTACACAAACATTAGATGTTGCCATGGTTTAATTGCACATAACATGTAAACATTCACAGTGCAGGGAGGAAAAAGTATGTGAACCTTTGGACTTAATAACTGGTTGACCCTCCTTTGGCAGCAATAACCTCAACCAAACGTTTCCTGTAGTTGCAGATCAGACCTGCACAAAAATCTGGAGTCATTTTGGACCACTCCTCTTCACAAAACTGTTTCAGTGTAGCAATATTCTTGGGATGTCCTGGTGTGAATTGCTCTCTTAAGGTCATGCCACAGCATTTCAATCGGGTTGAGGTCAAGACTCTGACTGGGCCACTCCAGAAGGCGTATTCGGTGCTGTTGCAGCCATTGTTTTGTTGAATTACTTGTATGCTTTGGGTCATTGTCCTGTTGCATCACCCATCCTCTGCGGAGCTTCAGTTGGCGGACAGATGGTCGTACGTTTTCCTGCAAAATGTCTTGATAAACTCTGGAATTCATTTTCCCATCAATGACAACAATCCGTCCAGGCCCTGAGGCAGCAAAGCAGCCCCAAACCATGATGCTCCCTCCGCCATGTTTTACAGTGGGGATGAGGTTTTGATGTTGGTGTGCTGTGCCTTTTTTTCTCCACACATAGTGTTGTGTGTTCTTCCCAAACAACTCAATCTTGGTTTCATCTGTCACAGTATATTTTGCCAGTAGTGCTGTGGAACATCCAGGTGCTCTTTTTCAAACTTCAAACGCAATATTCTTTTTGGACAGCAATGGCTTCCTCCGTGGTGTCCTCCCATGTACTCCATTCTTGTTTAATGTTTTCCTTATTGTAGATGTGTCAACAAAAATGTTAGCATGTGCCAGAGATTTCTGTAGGTCTTTAGGTGACGCTCTGGGATTCTTCTTTACCTCATGCAGCATTCTGCGCTGTGCTCTTGCAGTCATTTTTACAGGACGACCACGCCTAGGGAGAGTAGCAACTGTGCTAAACTTTCTCCATTTGTAGACAGTCTGTCTTACCGTGGACACATTAACATCAAGGCTTTTGTAACCCTTTCCAGCTTCATGCAAGTCAACAATTCTTGATCGTAGGTCTCCTGAGAGCTCTTTTCTGCAAGGCATGGTTCACATCAGACAGTGCTTCTTGAAACCAGTACACCCAAAACAGGTTTGTGTTTTTTAAGGGCAGGACAGCTGTCAGCAACACATCCAATATCATCACACTGATTGGAGTCAAGGTTGGCTCACTCCTGGCTCCAGTTAGCTCTGGGAGAAGTCATTAAGCTAGGGCCTCACATACTTTTTCCTCCCTGCACTGTGAATGTTTACATGTTATGTGCAATTAAACCATGGCAACATCTAATGTTTGTGTAGTATTATGTTCAGCAGACTGTGTTCTTCTATTGTTGTGACTTAGATGACGTTCAGAGCACATTTTATACCCAATTCATGCAAAACTACATAATCCCAAGGGGTTCACATACTTTTTCTTGCAACTGTATATAATATATGAGTTTCACTTTTTGAATTGAATTACTGAAATAAATTAACTTTTTGATGATATTCTGATTTATTGAGATGCACCTGTACAAGCTTTGTAGAAGTGCACATCAAGCATTTTACATATGTAGCCAAGCTTCAGGCGCTTTTGTTTTAGCCAATGAAAAACACTAGGGGAGAAGACCACTTCAAATAGGCTAAAAAGGCTTACCATATTTTTCGCTCCATAAGACGCACTTTTTTCCCCCAAAAAAGGGGGGAAAATGTCAGTGTGTCTTATGGAGCGAATGTAAAGAGGCCGGTCCGGTCTTTCTGCCGCCACCATGTCAGAATATCGGGGGCCAGCCGCTCAGCTCTTCTCTCCTGCAGGGACTTACCTGTTCCTCGCTCCAGCGCTGTAGTCTTCTCGCGGCGGCTTCTGTGACAGCCAGGTGCCCACTGCGCATGCGCGAAAAGCGCTGTGCTTTGTGAATGGTCCGGTGTCTTCTGGGACACATGACAGGTCCCAGAAGGCTCTGGGCCATTCACAAAGCGCAGGATCCCTGGATCCCTAAAAAGCAGTAAAAATGTAACAGGCATACTAATCATTCCCCACTCGATCCAAAACTACAAAAAAAAAAAGTTTTGGCTGGACAAACTGTTGAAATACTGCACAGGTATGCTGTGCTATCCTTATGTGCCTCAAAGCTTTATTTTCAACTCTGACTGGAGTGTACCTCCTAGACCGCCAAGACAAAACTTTAAGTTTCCGTGCTCTATTTTTTTTTCTTGTACTGAAGGAAACCCCACCATAAGCAATGAGAAGGCTACCAATGCTAGTTGCCTGGCTTACAGGCTGATCCTATGGCTTCAGTTATTTCTAAATCACCAATTTCTTTCTACACATTGCATGTGTTCTTTGGGACAGTGATTTGGAAATAGTGCAGCAGGGGGACCAGCATAAAAACCAGCAAATAATTTAACAAAGATGTCAGTGGCCTACATCTTTTGAGTTGGTTTTCATTAAGCTTTCTGCAGTTTCTAAAATTCCACAATGAAATATTTGACTTACTGGGTCCCTCAAGGCCGATCGCCCAAGCAAAATGGTCCACAACTCCCGGCTGCTTCTACAAACAGAAAACCAAATCATAAAGAAAATTAGTTCATGAAAACCAACTGGTAATGTGGCAAAGGTTATAACAGAAGATAAAGATCAGATCCTCATATGTCATCATGCACATGTTAAACTTGAAAGAAAAAAAAAATCAGTCATGCTATCTAATCACAGGGCATTTCAGCTGAAAGTAAAAAGTGTTCATTCTAGTGTCAGGAATCCATCACTGGTAATTTTTGGTGTATGGCACTCAACACAAAAAAGCAGCTCCTAAATGGCTGACAGCCTAACCCGGGTGTCGGCAAACCCGTGGCTCCAGAGCCGCATGCGGCTCTTTTTCACCTTTGCTGCGGCTCCGGAGCTCACTGCCCACCAGGTGACAGGCAATAGGGTTGCCGTAGCTCAGTGGTCGGCAAGCCGCGGCTATTTACACACTTTTTTTCAAAATAAGTGAGCGCTTAAAACAACTAGTATAAAATCACTAAAAGTAAAATAAAAATAAAAGAAGAAGGAAAACAGCAGCTGAACACCAAAGAGGTACCATATGAACCTTCTCAATAAAAATGCATACAAGGGAGAGGTGCAGCGCTAACTAAATGAATAAATATACTTATATATTTGATAAATATAAATATAAATCAGTAAAAAGTGCTATTAAAGTGCAAAACGGTGACTAAATGATGAATATAGTCCATATCGTGCTCAGAATCCAAGAGGGTCCCTTTAAGAGCTCCAATCCCTGGATTCGTGGATGAGGTGATAAAGTAAAAATTGCGCACTCACCAAATGCGCAATTCAAATGCGCATTCAAAGCTGATATTCCAAGGTCCTCATATGGATCTGGTCAGATCTGGTCATGGAAAGCCCTCTGCCACCATGCAATGGATATGGATATGTAAGTAATGGATGGCCGCCGGGGCCCTCGTGGCGCCGGTCGGCGTGGCGTCACACCGCTTGTAGCCGCTCTCTGACGCGTTTCGTGCGAAGGCACGTAGTCATAGGGGGTTAGCTTACCCTCTTGGATTCTGAGCACGATAGGACTATATTCATCATTTAGTCACCGTTTTGCACTTTAATAGCACTTTTTACTGATTTATATTTATATTTATCAAATATATAAGTATATTTATTCATTTAGTTAGCGCTGCACCTCTCCCTTGTATGCATATTTACACACTTCAATGCGGCTCTTCTGTGTGCCGGGCGCCCGCTCCCCTCCCTCCTCTCGGGCGGCCGCCCCAAAAGTCAGGACTCTGCAGCTAGCCCAGTAATGGGCAAACTACGGCCCGGCGGACCTTTTAATCCGGCCCGCGGAGCGTGGCAAACATTGGCTGTCAGGATGTAGGCGGGGCAGCGTGACGAACTCCTCTCACAGTCCGCGCTGAAGACCGGAACGGCGCGGGAACACGGCGAGAGGAACGCGCGGAGCAAAGGTAAGTGAATTGACACAATATGGGGAATTAATTACTATAGGGGGGATGAATTACTATAGGGGGGATGAATTACTATGGGGGATGAATTACTATAGGGGGGATGAATTACTATAGGGGGGATGAATTACTATATGGGGGATGAATTACTATATGGGGGATGAATTACTATATGGGGGATGAATTACTATATGGGGAATGAATTACTATGTGGGGGATGAATTACTATGTGGGGGATGAATTACTATATGTGGGGATGAATTACTATATGGGGGATGAATTACTATATGGGGGATGAATTACTATGTAAGGGATGAATTACTATGGGGGATGAATTACTATGTGGGGGATGAATTACTATGGGGGGATGAATTACTATATGGGGGATGAATTACTATGGGGGATGAATTACTATATGGGGGATGAATTACTATATGGGGGATGTATTTTCAGTTTTAAAAATGTGGCTCTCAAAATAAATTTCAATCGTGGTTTTGGCGAGATTTGGCTCAGTTGAAAAAAAAGGTTGCCCACCACTGACCTAAGGCTATGTTTGTGATTATGACGATACACTGTGGCCCTGATTAACCCTTTGCTTACTGGGCCCTTAAACCCCCTTCATGACCAGAGCGCTTTTTGCAATATATGCAGTGTCGGATTTGTTTTAAATGTTTTGCGGCTCCCAGTGTTTTTTTCCCTCTCGGAAACGGGTCCAAGTGGCTCTTTATGTCTTAAAGGTTGCAGACCCCTGGCCTAACCGAACATTTAACCTCCCTTAACAATGCTTAAATGTCCTGCACCAGCAGTCTCAGTGCTGAAGATTAACATCCATGCACTTGAAGATACTGAAACTAGAATCTAGTGATATGTTATAGGAACCTAGAGCAAACCATTAGGCAGTGTACTCTGTTCAGAGACACGTTTATCTAAGAAGTAGTCAACTCACTAAAAAACATACATTTTTCAAACACACGCATTGCCTTTTTTATTTGCAGTATTTAATACTTTGTTCTTTATTTAACGTGTTATTTTATCGAAGACCGGACCAGCTGAAGTTGGATATAAAACATTCACTACCACTGCTAAATGTGCCAGCTTCCCGCTCAATCTGCACCTGGCTACTGGTTGCTGTTAGGCTGGAAGTTGCAAGCATTCTAACAACCATGACTCTTCCCCACCTGGCCCATTTTGCCATCAGCTATGTATCTCCAACTGACAGTTGAATATAAACAAAGAGGCAGGATATATGTAAAAAAAAAGGGGGGGTGACATATGAGGTGCCTTATAAGATTCAGACCTTCCTCTACACATGCAGCTTGGTTAGCCAGTAAAGAGGGGGGATAATTGTGCCCCCATTCCAGGAATCATATCGGGCCACATACCCTCAACATTAGGGAATGGGTACTTTTCTAGAGGGAATCCCCCTTGCAAAGCAGCTAGTTACCATGTTGACGAGGAGATGGACCTCTTTCCTATAACCCTGTCCCGGTGTTTGAGAGGATCTGCAGGTGGGGGGAATTATTGGAATCTGGAAGCCCCTTTAAAAATAAGAGGGTCCTTAGATATTGGGCGCTCTTCTACCAAAAGAAGGATCTCAAGAAGATCAGCAAATAATGGATACAATGTCAGGCTCGTGAACACTCGCCTCGTACCTCTGCACAGGCTGAGAACTACAAGTCATCTGCCACCGACTTGTAGTTTACTCATTCACAGATGCCTGTAAATGAATGACGAAGTTGAGTGGGTGGAGCCCCATACAGCTGCACCAACTTTAAAAGTTGTAACTGTTACACCCTAAATAACACATTCTAAAGGTGAACTTAACCTGTAAATTACCGTATTTTTTGCTCCATAAGACGCACCTGACCATAAGACGCGCCTAGGTTTTAGAGGCAGAAAACAGGAAAAAAAAAATTCTGAACTAACGGACTGCAGACACAGTACAGGAGATGACCAGAGACTGCGGACAGCACAGGGATGACCAGAGACTGCGGACAGCACAGGGATGACCAGAGACTGCGGACAGCACAGGGATGACCAGAGACTGCGGACAGCACAGGGATGACCAGAGACTGCGGACAGCACAGGGATGACCAGAGACTGCGGACAGCACAGGGATGACCAGAGACTGCGGACAGCACAGGGATGACCAGAGACTGACAGTACAGATGACTGCTGACCTTTGGGGAGGTGGGGAGCGGGTACTTGAATTTGACAGGTACCCACTCTTACTTCCGCAGAGTTTTTGTTTGATCTTACCTGTTCCTCGATCCAGCCGCGCGCTGTCTTCCCGGCTTCTGTAATGGCGCTCGGCATGACAGCCGGGTGCCCAGTGCGCATGAGCGAGAAGCATTTGCGCTTTGTGATTGGTCCGGCGGCTTCTGGGATCTGTCATGTGTCCCAGGTACCGCCTTACCATTCACAAAAAGCACCGCTTCTTGCGCATGCGCACTTGGCACCCGGCTGTCATGCCCAGTGCCCACACTACAGAAGCCGGAAAACAGCACGCCGCTGGATAGAGGAACAGGTAAGATCAAAGAACAAAGAAGTAAGAGCGGGTACCTGTCAAATTCAGGTACCCGCTCCCCACCTCCCCAAAGGTCAGCAGTCATCTCCATAAGGTCCCGCTGCAGAGCTGAGCGGCCGGCCCGGTATTTCTGACACGGCCGCGGTGGAAATACCGGACCGGCCGCTCCATATTCGCTCCATAAGACGCACTAACATTTTCCCCCATTTTTTGGGGGGAAAAAAGTGCGTCTTATGGAGCGAAAAATACGGTAGGCAGCATTCTGGCACTGCAGACAGCGACATGAACCGCAAATATTCATCTCCTTTTCCCAGGTATACCTGGAAGCACTCTGAGGATTTAGAAGACTGAAATCGGGCAACTGGCAGGACAGTGACTATCAGACTTAAAGGATAAGTTCACCTTTTAACAAAAAATGATAAGTGCACAATTTGTGCAGATAAAAAAAAAATGTGCATTTACTATTTTTTTTTGAGAGCCTGGAAAGCATTGCACCAGCGAGCAGCAGATCTCTAGTGACATGCAGGATTCCTGCAGACGTGTCAGTGTATCTGTCTGCTTGTACCTCGAATCAATGAACTACCGCAGTGCCATGGTAATTAACTGAGAACTACAAGCCAACAGCCATAAAGGCTGTCGAAACGTTTTATTTTTCCCATTCACAGAATACAGTGAATAAGTGATGTGGCTGTAAATTGTGACAAGCTGTCATCAGGGGGGGAATCAGGGGCTGGTCTTTTCATAACATGTTACACCCTGAATATGGGTGTAACATGTAACACGTTACAAAGGTAAACATATCCTTTGACTTTTTCAATGCCAGGTCTGTATGGCATAAAGACCTACAGCACTGCTTCCAGCTGGCCAATTCTGTATGCGTATGGAACTGACATTTCTCACATTCCTGCTGCTTCACCCCGCTGCTAGCTGGCTTTCCCTCCTCACCCTCCCGCCGGCTGCAGCTGGAGATCGCTGTCAGGATGGACAGCAGGGGGGGCTGGTAAATATGTGTTCACCAGCCCCCTTCCATTCCTGAATGAAAACAGACTGTTTGTGAATGTAACATAGTAAACACTGTGTACTATGTTTCATTTTATGAATGAATAGAAGTCTATACAGGCTCCTATTCAGTCATTCACAGTGCAGCTCAGGCTGCAGAGAAAGGGACTGTCTGTCTCAAAAAAGACATTAGATAAGGTTTGTTTAGACCCCGATGTCTCTCCAAAGAAAATAAAAAGGCGGGTGTTGCATTTTTTTTATGTCAAGCGATATTTGCCTAGCGGTTTTTCAAACGCTATGTTTTTTTTTTTTAATACAATTTAAAGAGTATAAATGAGCAAAAACAAACTATAATATCCAATTGTTTAGTAAAAACATAAAAGATGATGCTACACAAAGTAAATAGACTGGCAATTGCACAGTCATGCAACAGTACCCGAATGAAATTTATATACTTTTTTTCACACAAATAGAGCTTTCTTTTGGTGGTATTTGATCACAAGGTTGTTTGTTTGTTTTTTTTATGCAATATAAACAAAGAAAATATTTTTTTTTTTACTTTTTGCTATAAAACATATTCAATAATTATTTTTCTTTTAAATAACATATCTTCATAAATGTAGGCCAAAATGTATTCTGCTACATGTCTTTGGAAAAAAAAATCCCAATAACTGTATATTGTTTTGTGTTGATGTTATAGTGTCTACAAACAATGGTTTTATATACTGGGATTTTAATTTATTTATTGATATGCTTGAAATGGCATTGATCAGAGACTTATAGTGGGGCTGTGATAGTGTGGCAGGCAATCTGACACTAACCAACACTGGGTGGAAACTGACTGACTGCCACTGACACCAATACAGTGATTGATAATACTATTATACACTGTCACTGTACTAATGACACTGGCTTATAAGGGGTTAACATCTAGGGTCAAAGGGTTAACTGTGTGCCTAACAATGTGTAACTTGTGCTGCTTTCACTAAGAGATGTGGCTGTTTTTTCTCCTTGCTTTGAAGGGAAAAAAAAAACAGCCACATCGCTGCTCCGTGTACAGAGCCCTATGTTGTTAGTAAACACGGGGCTCTGTACTGTGATTCGCTAAGCCAATAAGCAGGGCCAGGTCGTAAATCATTGGCCGGGACCTGCTGACCGACTTGTGCTGTACCAAATGCCAGCCAAATCCGGACCTAGCCAGTCTGATGTGGGGTTGCAGCAAAAAATGTCAGGGGCAGAGGAAGTGAGGTAAGCAGGACAGTGTATAGGAGGCATTAGAGCAGTGTACAGGGGATCAGCAGGGAAGAAGATAGGATCAGTAGTTTGTATGGCAATGTACAGGCACTATTAGTTTGTAGGGCAGGGTACAGTGGAACTCAGGGCATTGTTTAAGGGTTAGCAGGGCAGAGAACAGAGAGTCAGCAAGTTAGTGAGCAGTGGGTCAGCAGGGGAGTGTACAGAGGGCCAGCAGGGCAGAGTATGAGAGGTCAGCAGGGGAGTGTACTAAAGACAGTAGGGCAGAATATTGGGGTCAGCAGGGCAAAGAGCAGGAATTAGTAGGGCAATGTACAGGGAGTCAGCAGGGCAGTATGCAGGAGGCAGCAAGGTGGAGGACATGGGCAGAGAACATGGATCTGCAGTGCAGAGGATAAGGATCTGCAGGGCAGTGTAGAGGGGGCAGCAAGCCAATGTTCAGCAGCGCAGAGGACAGGGGTCAGTATGGCAAAGAAGTGGGATCATAAAGGCAGAGGAAAGGGGGGGGATCAGCCGTGCGGGGGACAGGGGCCATCAAGTGCAGGGCACAGGGGTCAACTCCTTCCCAATTCCACCTCTGAGCCAAAGATCTCCCCATTCCCCCCTCCAAGCACATATCCTCCCCATTACCCTTCCTAGAACGAACACCCCCCCCCCTCAAAATTACTTTTTCCATTACAAAGAGCCCACCTTTCACCACTTCTCCATAAATTTCTCATCCCAACTACAAAATGATTGTTAACTCCCCCCCCCCCCCCCCCCCCCCCCCCCCCATTAAGTTCAAAGTAAAATTCCCCTACTTGTAAGTTCCACCCCCTCCTGTCATAACTGCCCTCCTCCATAAAGCAGATGTCACAGGATCGCTAGAGTGGACTGTACACACACTGTTTGATGACCAGCCCCCTATGACCTTCAGGGGCTGCTTATCTCCCAGCAGCTGGAAATGTGGATAAGGGGCAGTAGAGAAACTGTGTACAGTTCAATGTCAGCGCAATCCAGTGACATCTGCTCTATAGAGGAACACAGCTATGACAGGAGGGGGAGAGCACAGCCTGCACCACCCTGTCCTCTGTGCCACGGTCATGTCTTTCCAGACCTTCTAGTTTACCATACTAGGCTGCCTTCTAGGCTGGGGAGAGGAGAGAGGAGGGAGGAGAGGAGAGGAGGAGCAGGCCAGACTCAATGTCCATGGGGAGAAGTGACCTGGGATCCCACCCCAACACTCCCCTAGATCAACCCATGATGACAACACAGATGGGGTAGCAGGCGAGCTCACACCCTACCCGGAAATGCCATCACATACATGATCTGGCACAGAGTGGCCGCAGTATATACAGTTGCAAGAAAAAGTATGTGAACCCCTTAGGATTACGTGGAGTTTTGCATGAATTGGGCATAAAATGTGCTCTGAACGTCATCTAAGTCACAACAATAGAAGAACAGTCTGCTGAACATAATACTACACAAACATTAGATGTTGCCATGGTTTAATTGCACATAACATGTAAACATTCACAGTGCAGGGAGGAAAAAGTATGTGAACCTTTGGACTTAATAACTGGTTGACCCTCCTTTGGCAGCAATAACCTCAACCAAACGTTCCCTGTAGTTGCAGATCAGACCTGCACAACGATCTGGAGTCATTTTGGACCACTCCTCTTCACAAAACTGTTTCACTGTAGCAATATTCTTGGGATGTCTGGTGTGAATTGCTCTCTTAAGGTCATGCCACAGCATTTCAATCGGGTTGAGGTCAGGACTCTGACTGGGCCACTCCAGAAGGCGTATTCTGTGCTGTTGCAGCCATTGTTTTGTTGAATTACTTGTATGCTTTGGGTCATTGTCCTGTTGCATCACCCATCCTCTGCGGAGCTTCAGTGGGCGGACAGATGGTCGTACGTTTTCCTGCAAAATGTCTTGATAAACTCTGGAATTCATTTTCCCATCAATGACAACAATCCGTCCAGGCCCTGAGGCAGCAAAGCAGCCCCAAACCATGATGCTCCCTCCGCCATGTTTTACAGTGGGGATGAGGTTTTGATGTTGGTGTGCTGTGCCTTTTTTTCTCCACACATACTGTTGTGTGTTCTTCCCAAACAACTCAATCTTGGTTTCATCTGTCCACAGTATATTTTGCCAGTAGTGCTGTGGAACATCCAGGCGCTCTTTTGCAAACTTCAAACGTGCTGTAATATTCTTTTTGAACAGCAATGGCTTCCTCCGTGGTGTCCTCCCATGTACTCCATTCTTGTTTAATGTTTTCCTTATTGTAGATGTGTCAACAAAAACGTTAGCATGTGCCAGAGATTTCTGTAGGTCTTTAGCTGACGCTCTGGGATTCTTCTTTACCTCATGCAGCATTCTGCGCTATGCTCTTGTAGTCATTTTTACAGGATGACCACGCCTAGGGAGAGTAGCAACAGTGC